TCTTTTAAAGGCTTCTGTTAACACTTTCCTTGCCACCTAACAAAATTCTTAAGAAAAAAAGAGTCTTAGAGATCAACCGGTCCTGTTTTGCAGTAAAGCTTTCAATCTTAAACCTGTTACTGTAAAATCTTAGGTGCCCTGTCGTTGATGTGAGAATTGAATCTCTCGTGAACCTTCCTGCCTGTGGCTGCCCATGAAACACTTCTGCAGATTCCTAAGCCTCCTGGAAATAACTGCAAACCATCATAGCTTCTTTTTTTTTTTTTTTAAGTAGCTGAGAAAATAAAAGCTACGAGAGATCAAATAATTGGCCCAAGGTCCCAGAGGTAGATTGTGCTGAGGCCAAAACCAGATTAAGGTCTTGTGGCGCTGCCCACTCTGCTTTTCTTCCTTCCCTCTAGGACCCTGATATAGGGAGACTGGAAGGGACAGAGCAATATGCTAATGAAGAATGGAGGTTTGTACTCTGAATTGTAGAAACGAAAAGGGCAGGAAACAGGAGGGATGAAGACAGAAAAACACTGGAGCTGCAGCGTCAAGACCATCTATTGAGTAGCCTGCTCTGTGTCCAGGGCTACCTGAGGATGAGAAATCGCGGTCCTCAAATACTGCCTTGTAATTGATTTTATTATCCCTGCTCTGGTAGGTTTTCCTCCCCGATGTGAAGATGCTTCTGCCATCGATCAACCAGTCTGCAGCTTCTAAGAATCACACAGGGGTACTCAGCACTGTGTGAAATGTGCAGATACAAAGGTGTGACAGAGACGGCCCTTTCCAGAAGAGACTGCTCTGGGGAGTTTGCCCAACTTGCGATATCCTCTTAACTTCCCACCCTACATTCATTCACAAGAAGTGGGCTCCTGGCTGTCATGCTTATCGACTGCATGGCAGGGGCAGTCATGACCCTGCACCCTGGGCCCAGTCGACTGGACTACAGATGTCCATTTGACCCACAGATAATCAATCACAGCCTATTCCCAGGGAGTGTGTGGGGTGGGATTGAGGGGAGGAAAGGAGAGAGAATGACAGAAGAGGAACAGGAAGAAGGAGGAGGAGAAGAAGAAGAAGAACAAGAAAAAGAAGAGGAGGAGAAGGGAGAAGGAGAAACGGAGGAATAGAACAAGGAAAAGGAGAAGCAGAGAGAGGAGATGAGACGAGAGATAGCCAGATGGTGAGACCAATGTAAAACCACAGAGATTTAGTTGTCAATCTTCTGCCTTCTACACGTAATGCACACCAGAGAAAGCAGATATCCTGGGAGAGGGTGGAATGGACACTTGCAGAGCACCAGAGAGAAAAACAGGGAGATTATCCTCAGCATTGCGGGCAGCAGATTCCCAGTCTTATAGGGAGTTCAGGGACAGAGCCTGAGAGAAGGCCAACCTCCCCAGGACACACCTACCTGCCACGACCTGGCCTCTGCCCACTCCTCCTCCCATCTCTCCCCCAGCCCTGCTGACTCTCAGCCCTGCAGCCCTCCTGGTTATTCCTCCCACAGACCTTGCTGTTCCTTACCCATGGAGCTCTGTTTCTCTCTTCCATTTGCCCAGATGCTCCTGCCCCTTTTCTCTGTTAGGCTACTCTGGCTCATCCTTCAAGGCCCAACCTGGGCACAATCTCATCCAGGGAGTCCTCGCAGTTGTTGAAGGCCCCGCTTTGTGCTCTCTGCACTTACTGGATCACTGAAACGGTCTGCATCTGTGTTCCTGTCTCCCACTTTGCTGTGACTGATGTGCCGGGCACATGCCAGATGCTTCACAGATCCTAGTTTACAGTTCAAATTGCCTCCTCTGCCCCCAAGTGTAGGGTCTCTAGAGTAACCCCAGTCAACCAGACTTCAGAAGTGCTTCTGCTTCAGCAGGTGACTCCGCCCTCTCAGCTCTGGCCTGACTCCTGGTCCTCCACACACATCTTATCACCATGGTAGCCTGGCAAGCTGAGCTCCCCTCTACAAGGTTTCTGTGACCACATGTGGGCTGCAGGTCTCATTTCTGCATTCATCTTCCCTGCTCCTTCCTGGGTGCTCAAAGCAGCTCTTCCCACTCCTTCCCCCAAGAAACACCAGCATGTCAGACATTTACTAAAAATTCGGGGAGAAAAAAATTCAGTCGCAGTCAATTATAATACAGGAAGCAATTTAAAAGTATGTGTGAAATAATAGTGTCCTAAAATTTCTCTCACCCATTGTCTGCCTTCAGCTCTATCCCTCCAGAGAGCCTCCTTAGATTTCTGTGCTGTCTCAGGGCCTGTCTCACCTGGAAGCCCATCAACGCATGCCCATCTTCTTTCCACTTGCCAACCCCAATTCCTGCTAAGTACTCATGTAGAGCAGCTTCAGTCTTCATTCCGTCCACTAACTAAGATCTGGGTCTATCTTTAAATGTCCACAACTCGCTAATAAATAACAAAGTGCCGTCTCCTGCAGATCTGCACCATTTGGCAGCACGCATCAACAGCAGGAGCTTAGAAATCCGTTTCCCTCACACAGGCATAGGCAAGCTGCCTCTCCCACGGGGCTCTGTAAGTGGCAAGGGAGCAGTCCAGAGAATCCAAAAGGAACTAGCCCCCAGGGTTGGTGGGATTTGATTTGTTTGTTTCTTTGCTTGGGTTAGTGATGATTTTCTTTGATATCTATCAGCACAACTTCTCTCCTAGGCTGGAGCTTCTGGGGACAGACACTTGCTTATCTTTATATCTCCAGGATGAAGCACTCAGTAAATGTTTGCTGAAGGAATTAAAGAGCTCATGAGTGGAGATAGCTTAGCTGAACAAATAGCAAGCATGTAAAAATGACCATTAATGAACTGATGAGTACATTCGAAATTGCTGTACTCTTTCTTCACCGTCTTCTTAGCAGACCCTGATATTTCTGTCTCTGACTCAGGCAGTTAACCCAGCCTCTACTGCTCATGACGGTTACATTTATTGACCTTGGACTGTGTAGAGGTTAGTGGTTAAGGATTCAGGCTCTGCAATCAGATAGACTACATTTCAAATATCTGTTACTTAGGAGCCCTGCAGGACCTTGGGCAAGACGCATAGTTTAAATCTGAGTTTCCTCACCTTAGACTTCAGAATAACAATAGTACTGCCCTCACAGGTTTGAGGAAGAATACATGGAGATAATCCTGTAATGTGCTAAGCATAATACCTTAATGCCTAGCACAGAGCAAGCACTCAAGGCACGATAGGTGTTGTCATTAATTATTGCCATTGTCTTCTTATTGCTATTATTGTCCCAGGTGTGGACTCAGTGGGGAAGCTCTAAGCCTGTTCCCCATGACCAAGACTTAGCCTCTCTGTGGAGATAACAGTTTACTCTTCTTGCCAAGGTACATCTATACTAGATAGAGGTGTTCTGATTGCTCCAGGAGGGGGTTCTGTATTCTAACAGTGTAATCTGTCTTTACTTTTTTTTTTTAAGCAATATATATAAGAAATGTCAACATACAATGAGATCAAAGCAGAGTTCTTTATAGTGTGGTGTTTATTATGTGAGTGTCTGATGGTACAGGAGGGGATGAACCAAACCCAAACCATCATTCAGCATCTCCATTGGAACCACATTTTAAAACTCTGCATTTTACTGGTCACACTGTTCTGATTTTATATCTGCCTAGACTGCTGCCACCACATCAGGAACATTCCAGAAAGCACTTGGTGTTCATCATGGACTCCAGTATGATAGAAATTTGCTTTAGAGAAACTTCAGTTTCACCTAAAACTCAGCTTATGTCCTTATCCCTGACTTTGATAACTGTATTTACGGATGGGAAGAGGATCGCATCAAAATCCCGTGGGCCCTGCCTGGGCCACATGTGCCATGATTGGACTTCCTCTGAGAAGGAAGCATTTTCCTCTTATTAGCCAATCCAGAAAAATCAAAGCAATTTATATGGTCTGGGATGTTCCCAGAACTCTTTTTAAAGTCAGTGATAATTTGAATCCATTTGAAATAAATTGGATCACTTTGATCTAAAATATTTTGTAAGTTTTACAAATATGTCATTTTTACAGACATATCTCCAGTTATATAAAGACCACAGATGATAAGGATGTCATTTGTGAATCCTAAAGGAACTAGATTATGGAATATATACTTGAATTCAAAACAATATTTATAAAAAACCACTGTGAAATTTCCTCTATTAAATAGGGAAGATGATTTTTTTTTTAAATCAGGAAAAATAATTACAATAAATAGCTGGGCACAGTGGTTCACATCTGTAATCCCAGCATTTCGGGAGGCCCTGGGTGGAATGATTGCTTGAGGCCAGGATTTCAGGACCAGCCTGGGCAACATAGCAAGACTTCATCTCTACACAAAATATTTTAAAAATTAGCCAGGCATGGTGGGTCCTGCCTCGTAATTCCAACTACTTGGGAGGCTGAAGTGGAAGGATTTGAGGCTCAAGTGATTTGAGCCCAGGAGTTTGAGGTTCCAGTGAGCTATGATCTCACCACTGCACATCAGCCTGGGTAGCAGAGCAAGACCCTGTCTCAAAAAAAAAAAAAAAAAAAAAAAAGTAAAGACTCTAAATGTAAACACTATTTCCTAGTTTTTCTAGCTAAATAGTCAAACCAATAAGACGCAGCTTTTATTTGGACAGTGAATTTTTGACTAGCTGGAATTCTTTAGTAGTGGCATGTGTTGGTTGATGAGATTTTCTCTACCTTGTAAAATATTTTTCTAGAACCTAGTTTCTTTATCTTTCCCTTCCTCCTTTTTCCCTCTCTCCTGACTATTTTTACTCCCTTCTTTCTCAGAAATGAGGATAGGGAATATAATGTAATATTTCGGCTTCTCTAGACAATCATTCTGAACACTGGATTTTACTATTCAGTCTTGAGATCTGGAAATTAGCTGGATTCATTCTCTGGTCAATGAACAGTGAATAAATCTATGGGTATTTGACAAATCCAAAGTCAGTTTTTATGACATAGTCTCCTTTTACTTTCTTTACAGAATACAATACTATTTGAAAATAAATAATTCATGTATTCATATAGTGTCTTCTATCTTCTTGACCCTCTGAAATGTAAGCTTTGCAGAGCAATGACTCCCATCCTTGTTCTCAGCAGACTCTCCAGCACCACAGGTACCTGGCACAAGAGAGTCTCTCAGAAATGTTTGTTGGAAAATGAATATCTAGTTTTTTAATTCTTCACCTATTACCAAAAAGTCAAATGTAAGCATTTCTCCTTGATCCTTGTTCAACGATGCCTTGCCAAAAAAAAGTCCCTGCTTTTTACTACATTGTGTTCCAGAAAACTGCATCATAAAGTTGATTGTTACAAAGTAAATTGTATTCCCTCAGAAGAAGGGTGAACTTCTTTTGAGATAAAGGTATTTAATTAGAGAACATCATAAAAGAACGCATATAATGTGTCTAAAATCATAGCCAAAGGACACACAGTCTCTAAACCACTATAAACTGTCACAATGTTATCTCCTAGATCACTGGTCTTCAAATTGTGCTCCTCAGACCCTTGGTTCAGCCAAGGTATGTTAGGGACTTCCTTGCAAAGTGAAAGGGGAAGCCAATGAATGGGCTTCCAGATTCCCCAGCTGTCCTCTGCCCCTTCAACTCTTTGGTTTCACTTCAATGAAGGATTCCATGGATAAGGAAGGCTTGAAAATGAGAATTTTAGATCTAGATGACCACTGCAACTCACAATTCCTTACTGTGCTCCAATTAACTTCTATCCACTGAGCCATTCAAAAACATCCCCTGAGTGCCTGCTGTCCGGTCCCGGAGGTGCAGCTGTAAATCAAGGGGACATGGCCTCTGACTTCATTGAGCTAGGATTCTAGTGGATGAGACCAAAACCAAGACAATAAAAGCATATTTTAAACAACAGGTGGTGAGGAGAGTAATAAAGCAGAAGTGTTGGGAGGTGGGCTCAGGTGTTTGCTTGGTCTCATCAGGTGATGAAGGCAGACCTTCCTGCTAAGGCAACATTGGAGTAAAAGCGTGAAGGAAGGGAAAGAGGATCTGGGTAAATTTCTGATGGAAGAGTGTCCTATCCCAAGGGAAGAGCAAGGGCAAAGGCTTTGAGGTAGGAATGTGCTTGGTGAGGCCATGAGGAGGCAGCAGCAGGAGGTAAGGCAGCAAGGTTGGGTCGGGCTGATCATGACCTGAAGGCCATCGCGGCACGTAGGCTCTTACTCTGAGTGAGACAGGAAGGCATGGGAGCATTTGTAGCAAAATGAGAGGACCTGACTCAGGTCATAGCAGGATCCCTCTGACTGCTGTGTTGATAATAGACTGTATAAGGGCAAGCATGGGTGTCAGTAGAGCAGTCAGGAGGAGCCTGCAAACATCCAAGTGAGAGATGCAGGTGACCTGGGCAAGGTGATGGTGGTAAATCTATGGAAAGAAGTGGTCAGATTCAGCATATATCTTGGAGGTAGAATCGACGTGATTTCTGGTGGATTGAAAGTGGATGTGAGAGAAGGACTGGAGTCAGGGATGACCCCAAGGTTCTCTCCCGGGCTTGGAAGGAGGGAGTTGCCATTTTATTGACCTAAAGCCTGGAGGAGGAGCACATTGGAGGTATGGAGAGGGAAATGGGAAAGTTGAGAATGAAGAATTTGTTTTGAGATATGTTATGTGGTGATGTCAAGCCGTCATACAAGACTGGAGTTTAGGGAACAGGTTCAGGCTCGAAATGCGAATTTGGGAGGTATCAGTATAAGGTGATATGTAAAGCCTTCAGACCAGATAAGAGCACCAAAAAGTGAGTATAATAGAGACAGCAGGGGAGGATAAGCACCCTCGAACTTGGGTGGGCACTCTGGCTCCACACAGATGAGGAAGAACCACTGAGGGGACTACTATCCCAGACCTAGAACACTTGGATACACCTATGAGTTTGCCTTTTTGTCTCCTGTTGTTGGAGTTCGGTGCTGATCGCAGTGCTCAGCAGAGACCTTCAATAAATTTGGGAAGGCAAGAAGAAAGGAAAGAAAGGAGGGAGAAAGGGAGGTGAGAGGGAAGAGGGAGGGAATGAAGGAGGGAAGAGGGAGGGAGTAAAGAAGGGAAGAGGGAGGGAATGAAGGAGGGAAGAGGGAGGGAGTGAAGGAGGGAAGAGGGATGGAAGTTCTCCCGTGTGTCCTGAAGGCAGACTACCAAAACTGTATGGGAAAGACTGCTGGGACTGGGGGCATCAGAAACCTGGATGCTAAGATGCTGAACAGGTTTTCTACAAAGCTATTTAGACATGTGATGTGGCAGGTCCCTATGATGATGGTAGGATCTAGGGGGAAAGGAAAAGTGTGAGCCAGAAGACAAGGTCCTCAGTGACTGGAAGGAAATGAGTGGATAATCTATAGATGACCTCAATGAGTCCCAGAGAGCCAGGTCAAATGCCGCAAGTCTGAAAGGAGGAGGGGTTTGCTTGAGAGTGTTGAGGCAGCAAATAGGGGAGGCAGAGGAGCCATCTTCCCTTAAATGGACAGCAGAAAGGTAGTCCCTGGGAGAGAGCCAGGTTTTAGTTAAGAAAGGAGAGGAAGTTTTGTGCATATCAAGTAGCGGATGCAGAAGAGTTTGATCCCCATAAATAAATGTTTTGAAAGGCACATGAAAGGAAGGTCAGTAGTGAAAGGAAGAATCAAGAACACATGGAGCATTTGGGGGATAACAGTTCAAGGAACTGCAGGATCTTGCATTTTGTCCAGAGGCCAGTGTAGACAGAGGAGGGAGGCAACATGGATTTATCCATCTTCCAAATTCTGGCCACCATAGACCAAGCATTTGGCTAGTGCTGACAGCCTGGTAATGTTACCCAAACACAGTTATTGCTCAGCCTTTGTATAGAACATTCTTGATAAAATGCCCCAGTGCCTCCCTAAAGAATTCTAGTTCAAATGTCGAGGAGAGGGTCAATTGACCTTCAACAGAATCACAGCAGGCCTTAGGGCCAGGAAGCCTAAGGATTATGTAGTGAAGTGGCAGGGGAAACTTGTGGGAAGGGAAGGTGACTTTCCCAAAAGAATGCTCCCCCAAGAAAGGTGAAGGGGACCGGCTAGGTTTCTGCCCTATTCCATCCTCCCACCCTGGTGAAGCTCTAGAGGCTCAGATGGACAGGACTTACAATTTCCTAAGCCAGGCTCAGGATAACTTGGAGAAGAGGACTCTCCTATAGTCCTTTTCCATCTGGTTGTCCCCCTTTCTATTCTTCCCATGGTTGTCCTATCTTGAGTTAGTCCTGCTGCACCATTCATAGAAAATGTAGCTCTCTGTCTGCTTCCAGATTGACCATGAGATCCTCAAGGACAGAGAAGAGTCTTAGCCATGTTGGTATCTCCAGTATGTTGAACTGAAGATTTGGGAAATGAAATGAAAATGGTTAAGGATTCAAAGAGTCTCACCCTCATGATTTGGCAGCCCAGAGTGTCTCTGCAAGTGTCCAGGCTGCCACCTTTCTTTGGGCCAACTAGGCACACAGAAGAAACCAACAGCAGTCAGCCTGTAGTAACTAAGTCCCACTCTCCATATCCTGGGCCATGTTAAATTCAAATAAATAAACAGTAAGGATCTTTTAAATTCTCCATTAATCATTCATTCCTCTGACTCAAGCACTACCAAGTGTTTGGGGTTCTCTCTTGCCATAATGAAAACGAACTTATGGGACCAGCTTTCAGGCAGGTGGGACAGAGCCAAGCAAGCAGGGCTCCAGTCCTGGTAAAGAAGGGATGGAGGAAGGTGAAGAAAGGAATGCTGAAGACAAATGTGTTATCCTCTCGGTTTTGCCCTATTTTTAGCATCTGAACTGTACATAGTGATTACTTCATGTTTCTAGTTAGTTTCTCCCATAGGTTCATATTTCGCACGTGGGGCTTGATGTCCCAAAGCCTTTCATTGGGTTCACCTTTCCGATATGCACTGACAATTGCTCACTGCTTGGCTGAGACAGAATTCTCATCTTCCTGCATCGTTTATCCACACTTGGCCCTAAGAGAGAATGAAAAAAAAAAAAGTCTATTCACTCTCCCCTTCCAGACTAGTTACCATGCCTAGTCTGGTTCTGATTAATGAAAGCTAGATGTTGGGATGTTGGCAAGCGTACCCTTGGGGGTCAAAGAGCTCAGCAACTGTTTGGAGGGGAGGACAGGTCACACCATGAAGGGTGAACCTGATGGGAAAGGGGCAAATGAAAGGGGCTGTCAGGAGTAAGGAAGCCACTAAACTATGGGAAGGGACCTGACAAGGGAGAGGGGAGAAGGTGAGGGAACCTGTCCCTCCTTCCAAGAAAGGAGATGAGCTGAATGTCACCATTTCCTTAGGAGATGAGACTTACAACTTCATGGCTCAGTTTGTTTGGATGTTGCCTTCTGTTTTATAAGTAGTTCAAACCAGGACACTGGCTATCAACAAAATCTTATAGGTTATTATTACCCTATTTTTAGACTTGAAAAGACACAGTACATTTTTTATCAGAAATGATGGCCAGGCAGCTGCAAATTGGTTTAAAGTGTGTGGGGAAGTGGCTGATCTCCTCAGATCTAAGTCCCAGGACGAGGCAGGTGGGAACATATGAGCAGGGCCTCAGGAAATCAATAGTCAGGCAAGAGGTAGAATGAGATGGGCACTTTCAAGGAAAACAGGCCAAATTCAAAACGTTCTATTTTCTAAATCTCCAACTCATGCAAGGACAGTCAGAAAAAATATGCATGACTACTGTCGTCATTTATGTCTTGATTCACATGACAGCTCATATTTATACTTTTTTTTTTGAGATGGAGTCTCACTCTGTTGCCTAGGCTGGAGGGTAGTGGTATGATCTTGGCTCACCACAACCTTTGCCTCTCGGGTTCAAGCAATTCTCTTGCCTCAGCCTCCCAAGTAGCTGGGACTACAGGCTCACACCACCATACCTGGCTAATTTTTGTATTTTTAGTAAAGACAGAGTTTCACTATGTTGGCCAGGCTGGTCTCATACTCCTGACCTCATGATCCACCCGCCTCAGCCTCCCAAAGTGCTGGGATTACAGGCATGAGCCACAGCACCTGGAATGATACCTGGTAACTTTTTGTTTGAGCATCATTTCTTGTCTTTAAGTCCTTTTGAACAGAGACTTTTCTATGATGTAGAGTATGCTTTTCTCACCAGGGCACTGAAACATAGACACAAAGCAATAGGCCAAGATCAGGTCTTTCAAGGCATGGCTTGGAGGACAGTATGGGGATGGAGACACTGAGAAGCCAGGGCTTAGCCCAGACCAGGGATATGAACTGGTTCTGAAAGCCAGAGCAGGTAAAAGATCACCCTCTAGGGAGTCAAGTAATGACTGCAGGTTGGAGGGGCCTAAAGGACCCTTAGTCTTGAGAGAATCCTCCACTAGCTGCCTACACTGAGGATTCTCGGAGCTGTGCAGATGGCCCCCTGGGACCGTTGGCTCTGCATGAGGATGGACCTCATGGAGCAGAAGAGTCTCTCTCCCATAATGGGCAGGCCCACTGGGCCTAGGTTGAGACCAGGCTAATAGCTTCCTTACCTCTGATCTTGGTCCTCTAGAGGTTACTACTTTTATGGTAAGAAAAATCAGGAAGATTACTCAAAAGAAAAGTCTATCTACTGAAAAAGTGTTTCTCCTGAAGGCTCAGAGTAAAGCTGGTCTGAGCAACCCTTCTTGGAGCTAGAGGCCAGTGGAGGCCCCAGACCTGTCTTCTCTACCAGCCTTATGGGGTCTCCAAGAGGGAGAAAGGAGGCAGAGGGAAGATGACAGAAAGTCAAGCGCAAAAGGCAGGACCACAAAGATGCCAGGGCTCCTCGTAACCTACTGGCTCTTCACCCAATAATTTTCATCCTGATCACTGTGACCTATCAAAGTCATTGACCTGGCCCATATAAAACCATCCTGTCCTCAGAGACAGAATGGAGAGGGGGCCTTAAAGTGCCACAGCCGGAGAGGTGATCTGAGCAGCGGGACTCAGTCTCAGGTGTGCATTTGTTATCTCTCTGAACCCTTCATACCTGCTGAGTGCCAGGCTTTTGCTAGCTGCTTTATAAAGATTCTAATATGGCATCTTCACAGCAATCTTTGCAGGATATGTATCATTATTCTTATTTCATAGAAGGAGAGACTCAAAAAGACTAAGGAATTTGCCCAAGGTCAGATGGGCTAGGATGTCAACTCCAAAGCCCATTCTCTCCCATCTGCACTGCATTTCTGAGGGTGTCTGAGCAGAAAAGAGCAGAAACTTTTAAGCAGTATTTCCTGCTTAAGCCAAAAATAGCTTCCAACTTTCTTTGTCATCCAAGAACATCATTATGAATGCCCTCCATTGAGATATGTGTTATAATTCAGCTTCACTTCTTGAAGTATATAGGATCATTCTCTGCTATACCAAATGTCCCCCAAACAGCTGTGCACTTTTTGGTAGTTTTCCTTTCGGTACTGCTTGCTCTAGTCAGTGTTTCTCAGCAGCTTCCAGTCTTTTCAGTATTTTCATGCATAGCTGTTGCCAGCAGGCCTGAAGACAGTTCTGCCTTATCTATGAGAAGTTTATGAAAGCTTTTAACTGCTCAAAGACTTTTTCTCTGACTTCAGTGTTCACCATTAACCTCTGAAGGGCTGGAGTCACCAAATACCCAATTTCAACATCACTGAGGTATGTTCTCTCAACAGCTTATCTATGAAACTGTGTATTATTTAAACTCTCAATTTTAGATTTGTAGAGAAGTCACAAAGATAATGCAGGGAGGTCCCCTATACTCTTCGTCCAGCTTCTCCTAATGTTAGCATCTTACCTATCCATGGTCTGTTTGTCAAAACTAAAAGACCAACAATGGTTGTATATGTACATTTAATACGCAATAGGATACAAAATGTACATTATGTAATTTCTGATTTTCTAGGTAATCTCATTTGGATGCAATTGTCTAGGAATCCAGTTTCCTCTTGATGTCTCAGGTGATGAAGCTCTTTGTGAAAAAATGCTCTACTTCCCCCTTCCGCAGTGAGAAGTTTACAGCTGTGGCAAATCCAAACATTTGGTCTTTTACTTCTTTGTTTTAGAGTTGAATCAAGAGAAGAATGAAATGTACTTACAACAAAATAGTAGCAAAGTACATATATAATTTCACAATTACTGGTTTGATTGGTGTATCAAGTCTTCAGACTTGTACCCACGGGTAAATTCTATTTACCTAATTATAGAAGAACAAATGAGTCAGTTGCTGCTGCATTAATTTCACTTGACCCAGTGGATAAAATCCATTCTGTAATTTCCTTCTCCCTTAGATTTCAGAAAACCTGAACACAGTCATTGGCAAGTGTGTTTGTTTCTAAAAAAAACCATTAGGGAGGGGGACCACTAACTTATCAGCTCTCTATTTAGCACCTGTATAACAGCCAGATAATACAAACAAAGAAAAGAAGGTGAAGAACAGAAGGAGTGAGGGGGAGAAAGAAAAATGTGTTTTCATGAAAAGACATGAAGGAAACTTAAATGCATATTACTAAGGGAAAGAAGACAATGTGAGAAGGCTATATACTGTACAATTTCAGTTGTGTAACAGTCTGGAAAAGGCCAAACTGGAGAGAATGAAAAGATCAATGGTTGCTAAAGGTTAGGAGAGGGAGGGATGAATAGGCAGAGCACAGAGGATTTTTAGGGCAGTAAAAATACTTTTTATGATACTGTAATGGTAGATACATGCCATAGTACATTTGCCCAAACCCATAGATTGCCCATCAACAGTAAGCCCTAATGTAAACTAGGGGCTCTGGGTGGTAATGACATGCCAATGCAGGTTCATCGATTGCAACAAATGTACCACTTTGAGGGGAAGGTTGACATTGGGAGATGCGGAGCATGTGTGGCGGCGGGGGTAGGCGGAGTATCTCTGTACCTTCTGCTCAATTTTTCTACGAACCTAAGCTGGTCAAAATATAAAGTCAAATAAAAAAATTAAGAGATATTTTAAAGTTGTTGAGACAGAAAAAACAATCAGTTAAATGAACTTGTGAGATATTTAAGCAACAGACAATGAGATTGTAGGAAAACCAGGAGACTTCGGCATATTAGGGCAGGTCTCTGGGAACAAAGTTTGAGAGAGAGAGAGAGAGAGAGAGATTTGGCAAGGCCACAGGAACAGCACCTATAAGGAAGTAAGGGGATCAGGATGGGGCAGAGAGAGGCTTGAAATGTGATCCCGTTACAGTGGAGCCTCAGCCCATCTAAAGGGCAGCTCTGGAGCTGGCATGATCCTTTAGAATTGTCCCAAACTGACATGGGGGAGCTGGAACTCGTACCTCTGTATCAGCCAGTCCTTAGGTGCAGGCTATTCTTGCAACAGGGGCATACGTTTAGTCAAGTCAGCTTCCTCCATATAAGGATAATTCCTAGAGATAGACTTAGCCCTGAGCTGTCAGTCACCAACAATGCTGGCAGCCAGAGCAACGAGTTCCTTGGTCCTGCAGCGGGGATCTGAATAGCATGCCAGAGGATCTAGTGTACAGGGTATCCTCAAGTCCAAGAGAAGAGAATGTTTCAGGAAAGGAACAGCCAGCCATATGGAATATTTCTGAAAGGCTGGGTTAAAGGAGGATACAGATGTGGCAGATGTAGGTCATCATGATCTTAACCAGATACATTTTAGTGGAACTGGAAGGATGCAAATCCAACTAGAAAGACTGAGAAGAGAAGGAAGGATGAGGAAATGAAGACAACAATACAGACAATTCTCTTGAGATTTTTGAGGTCAGTCAAGAAGAGCAGAGAGATTGGGTGTTAAATGGAGAAAGGCATGGTGCTAAGGGTAGTTTGTTATTTGCTTTAAGTTGGAAGATACTGGAACGTGTTTGCTGACAAACAAAATGACATGAATGATGGAGGAAATTGAGATGCAAGATAGGGAGGGGAGAGTTTCAGGAGTCATGTCCTTGAGAAGGTGAGAAGGAATAGGATGCAGGGTACAGTTGGAGGGGCTGACCTTGGACGGGGCAGGGATACATCATATATAGTAGTAACAGCGTTGGCCTCCAGAAGGTACTAGGTATACACATATAACTAGTGTGTGTGTGTGTGTGTGTGTTTTTATATATATATATATAGAGAGAGAGAGAGAGAGAGAGCATGAAGCAGATGTGTGTACAGAGGAGAAATGGAACAGGCTTCTGATGGCTTTGCAAGTCCAGGCCCTCCCTGAGGTCTGCCTGGAGAATCTCTTCTATGCCATCAAACACCCCTTTGTCTTTACTATAAACATCTCTTTCTTGCTAAATTTAACTCTACTGAGATACTGATTTTTGCAACCAGAATCTTATCTATGATACAGTGCATTGCCTGATTGACATGCAATTAGCTTCAGGCCAGATACCCGAGAAGACACCCTTGATATGAGCCAGCTTCATCAGAGAGAGCTACCCTGCCGCGTGACTCAGTCCCTTTCCTAGAACTGTACCATGGATCTCATACAACACTGATCTGTCCAGTGCCAGTCCACTAGTGGAAGACTGGATGCAAGAAAATGTAAAATCTAAGGAACAATTACGATAAAGCCAATCTATTTTTCAATAAATAATATCTAGCCTTCAAATAGATTCTGTGAAGACTAGGTAGAAATATAAAGTAAAACAGAACACTGATTTTAATGCCCATTATTATAGCATTGTAAAAAAAATGCATTTGGTTGGGAGGCTGAGGCAGGCAGATCATGAAGTCGGGGGATCGAGACCATCCTGGGCAACATGGTGAAACTCCGTCTCTCCTAAAAATACAAAAATTAGCTGTGTGTGGTGGCATGTGCCTGTAATCCCAGCTACTCGGGAGGCTGAGGCAGGAAAATCGCTTGAACCAGGGAGTCGGAGGTTTCAGTGAGCCAAGATTGCGCCACTGCACTCCAGCCTGGTGACAGTGAGACTCTGTCTCAAAAAAAAAAAAAAAAAAAAAAAAAAAGCATTTGGACTGAGTTTGGTGGTGTGCACCTGTAGTCCCAGCTACTCAGTAGATTCAGCTACTCAGGAGGCTGAATCAGGAGGGGTGCTTGAGCCTAGGTGTTCTGGGCTATAGAGAGCTATGTCTATCTAGTGTCTGCATTAAGTATGGCATCAATATGGCAACCTCCCAGGATCAAGGGACCACCAGATTGTCTAAGGAGGGGTGAACCAGTCCAGGTTGGAAATAGAGCAGGTCAAAACTCCCATGCTGAGCAGTCATGCAATCACACCTTGGAGTGAATAACCACTGCACTCCAGCCTGGGCAACACAGTGGGAGCCCATCTTTAAAAAAAAAAAAAAAAAAAACCAAAACACATTTGGGAATAACATGGGAAAAATTCATCAAAATGGTAATAATAATAATGTGTTAGGTTAATGGGACCACGTATGTTTCCCCCTAATTTTCTCTATTTTAATTCTAAAATGTGGCTATATTATGTAGACAATTTAATGCAACTCTTCTTCCTAAAGCTCACACCCAAGCAGCTGGGGTGGTTTCCGGGATGTCCCCAAGTTATCACAGATTTTAGGTACAAAAGGAAGAAAATACTCAAGAACTGCGGCCAAAGAAGGCCATCAGAGGAAGTAGTTGTTAAAATCAAAAGGGACACCTACCTTCTGGCCAGTGACACCAATTATAGTCCTACAATAAAGCCCAAGATGAGAACTGGGTGACCACTTGAGCATGATCAGATTTTTCAGCCTGTTCCCATTGCAGGAACACTGCCATGAAATCTCTGAAATGGAAGAAAAGGCTGGGCACACGTGGCCGGCTCCTGTGGCAGGCCTGCCCCTTCCTGGTCCTCTTTTGTGCCTGTTCTCTCAGCAACTGGACCTCCCTCAGCATTGCTCTTCCCGAAAGTGCCAAGGGTTTTATTAGGAACCACACTGAGCACTGACCCTGAACTTCATCTTTGCTAAATACTTTCAAATGACCTTAATGAGGATCCCCCTCCACCTCCCAGGGAGGCCAGTTTAAAGGTTGTCCTGAGACTCTTCTTTCACAGTGAGTAACAACAGGTCATTAAACAGCTTACTCAGAGACCCACTGGGGCAACTGGAGCAGGAACTCTGTGTTCCTCTGGGCTCAATACTTTTCTTAGCTCACCGAGCCCAGCCAAGGCTTCAGGCGAGTGAGAACTGAAAAGAATAAACAGTGGTGGGGGAAGGAGGACTCGTCACCCAAGCTCTGCCCTGCGTGAGCAGCCATGCTTCTGTGCACCTGCTCACTCCCTGACCTTTCTGCTGTTACAGACAAACTAATGGAGCCCTATTGTTCCTCCAGCTTCCACAGAGGCCAAGGAAAAATGGACTGCTATGGGGTTCAGGTTCACCAAACGAGTGAGACACCCACCCCAGGGCTAAAATATAATACAATGATTAGCCTTGTGTTTGTGGATAGTCATAACTAAGGCAGGTGGCAGCGTGCTGGCAGGAAGTTCTTCCTAGAGAGCAAAGGCATGTGGGAAGAATTTGAGAAGAGGCCCCACCCACAGATGACTGGAGCCAGTTATCAAATAAATGGAAATTAGTGACTTTATATTCAATATTGCTATTTAGTGAGTGGTACTGTGTGCAGGGCCCATGCTAGGTGGGAAGCAAAGCCACGGCATTCCCACATGTCAATACCCACTGTCAGGGGCCAGGGATGCTGGGTCAGGTAGGCTGATGCCTTGGTGTAATCCCACGGAGCATTTGGACTAGTCTGTGTGGTCTATTGGCAAGACCAGATAAAAGCAAAAGGCAGATGCAGAATTCACATCCATGGAGAGGTGCCTAGAGTCACACCTACAGGTGGGTACATGGCAGAGAAGCCAAAGGAGTTAGCAGGGCTGTGTCACCTCTTACCTAACCTGCAGGTGTCTGCTTCAGTGCCACTTCCTCCCAGAAGTGACCCAATCACTCTCAGGCATATGTTAAGCTCCCCTGTTAGATACTCAGATTGTACCACTCATGACACTCATGAGCGTGATTGTTTGGTTAAAGGTCTGTTTCCATGAAAATAGGGATGGGAGAAGGGGCTCTTTCATGTTCCCTGTTTGTCCTCAGCCTGGCACTAACAGGCTTTCTATTCATATTTTGTGAGCCACTAGTCTTCACAGCACTCACTACATCAGAAGGCTGTAAGTGCTTGGATAATTCTTTTTTTTTTTTTTTTGAGATAGAGTCTTGCTCTGTTGCTCAGGCTGGAGTACAGTGGCGCGATCTTGGCTCACTGCAAGCTCTGCCTCCCAGGTTCACGCCATTCTCCTGCCTCAGCCTCCCAAGTAGCTGGGACTACAGGCGCCCGCCACTACGCCTGGCTAATTTTTTGTATTTTTAGTAGAGATGGGGTTTCACTGTGTTAGCCAGGATGGTCTCGATCTCCTGACCTCGTGATCCGCCCGTCTCGGCCTCCCAAAGTGCTGGGATTACAGGCGTGAGCCACCGCGCCCGGCCAGATAATTCTTTATTGACTGTCTTCCTCCTTGCTAGGTTGTAAATTGTAAAGCACAGGAACCCCCTTTGTTTTGTTCTCTATCACGTATATCTTTGGCACAGATTTACACGTAACAGTACTCACATTGTTGGCAGAAATCAATAATAAGTGAATAAACAAACATGAATAAAGGTCCAAAGAATAGAAGTGGGTAGAAAAAGGAAGACAATACCGAGAGGTTAGGAATTCAGTATGTCCAAGAACCGAGTTAGGCGAGCAGAAAGTGAGAAAGCACAGGACTTCTGTATCAGTAGATGTGGGATGCCTAGAATCTCCTTTTCAGGAATGGACCGCATGGTGGGTGTAGTTAAGCGAACAGGGAAGGCATGCCATCATATTAGAGATGACTGACCAAGTCTAAATCTTCTTTATCCTAGGAGGAAAGCTAAGCCATTAATTTCCTACTCTGCAAAGTGTAAAGCAGGGATCCTTTTCTTTTGCATGATGAAGCCTTAAGCTCCTGCAAAGTCTGGGGAGCCGGGGAAAATGGCTTAGCAACCTGCAGGATCAGGGTTCCACAAATAAAAGTGGATCCTAGACTCTTGGCTGGGAGCTTTAGTGCCGCTTGGCGAGTCCCTGAATCACAAGGCCCTGACTAGTTATGCTGCTGCCTTCCTGTCTGGTAGATAGAGGCCTTACCACGCATCATTTGCGGCTGTTTTTGCTGGAACTTCAAATCCCCTTTCTTCCCAGGTGTGAGTGCAAAAGGCTCAGGGAAGGGTTCAGGAAGGAGAGTGAGCCTGCATGATGACATGAGAAGATGTGGTCCATCTGAAAAGCTCCACAAGGCATCTCTCATCTCTCTCTTTGCAATAAATGTCCCTGGATCCCTAGACAGTGCTTGCCAGAGTTGGCTGCTAATGCAGAGACTTGCCTGGAAGTTAAGAAACAGTGTGAATATTCAAGAAGTGTAAACCAAGTTCCAGATGGGAATTCCTGGAACCCTCTTTTTCTCGGTGATCTCCTCCTCCTTCTACTACCATCCTAAAACTTGTTTTGATGGGCTGTTTTTATGAAATTCCTTCTTGTCTCCAACTTCTGCTTCCCACCCTTCTGGTCACCAAAGTGGAAGGAAGAGCACTGAATTTTTAAAGCAGCTGTCCGACCCCCACAGCAACAGACACACACACACACATACACACACAGCCCTCCAAGACATTTTCTCCATTTTTAGCAAGCAAAAGGGGTGTGGGGCAGAAAGCAGGCTTTTGCAGTGGTCTATCTTATTTCCTGGTCAATCCATTTGGATGATTACTGACAGATTTTAAAATGGAGCCTCATAGTTTAAGGTGCTGCACTGTGATTGACTCCATCTTGTTGCAAACAAAGAAAGTATTTATCACTAATACCTTGTAGGGCTCCTGGGAGAATAGAGGTGGCATACACTGCACCACGCTCGCCTAGTGTTCAATTTATTCATGCTAATTTTACCAGTCTTTGGAGGGGGATGAACCAAAATTTTCCCTTCCAGGTGTATGTGTGTGCGTGTGTGTGTGTATGGGAGTGTGTATGTAAGTCTGTATGTGTGTGTGTATATGAGTGTGTAGGTGTGTATGAATGTGTGTGTATATGTGAGTGTATGTGTGTAGGTGTGTGTGTGTATATGAGTGTGTGTGTATGTGTGTGTATGTATGTGTGTGTGTGTGTCTGTGATTACTCTTCCATCTAATATTTTAGTCCAATTCATTCCCCCAAATTTTCAAGATAAATTTACTTAATTTTTTTTTTAGTGCAAGTATCACAAATGTTGGTTTTCTATATCACTTGACTAGCCTAAAAAATGTTGGGCCTCTGTAAATTGCACTGGCTTGATTTAAGCTGTTGTCTAATTTGGCCTTAATCATAACAACAAAAAAAAAGCATACACGACAAAAACTCTTTGGAGTTTTACCGAAGTGAGGAGTTTCTATGTTCACTCAAACAAAGTGCTCACAATCATGTTTTTACCAAAATACAAAGATATAAAATGCTATTTCCAGGCAGGAGTAAAGAGTCATTCCCAAACTTGTAACTCTAAAAGGATCTCATTCCGCTAATAACTGGAGCCTAGCATATGTGTTGACATACTGGAGGCACACACAGTCGTAGACTCTTTATTGTCAGGCTCTTCGCCTGACTTCAGCTTCCACTGCCCTGCCAGCTACATAGGTGTGTGTCAGTCACTTCACCTTTCTGGGCTACCGTTTCCTTCTGTGGCTCACGAGGCGACCGCGCTTGCCTGTTTCTAAGGCCCCCTCTAGCTCTGGAGTGTCATGAGACTTTGAATAAGGAGGAAAGTTAGAGTCATTTTGTCCAGGGCCAAATCTGGACCACTGCCTGATTTTGTATATCTCACATACTAGGAATGGCTTTTTACAAATTTTAGTGGTTGGAAAAAATAGTATTTCGGGAAACATGAAAATTATGTGGAATTTAAACTTCAGTGTCCATAAATAAAGTTGAACTGGAACACAGCCGGGCTCACTTGTTTGTGTATTGTCTGCGGCTGCTTTCACACGACAATGGCAGTGTGCAGTAATTGCCATGGAGACAAGCCTATAATATAGCCCACAAGCCTAAAATACTCACAATCTGGCCCTTTCCAGTAAAAGGTTGCTGGCCCCTGCTCTCGTCCAACTGCTTGACAGATGAGGACATTAATGCTGAGTGAACTGACTTGGCCAAGGTCCTGGTTCTTAAAGACAAGGTATAGTTATAGGAAGAAAGGCAAATGGCCATTTTGAAGCATCCAAAGGAACAAAAACAATTAACAATAAGCCAAGATTAAGGATGCAAAAGTAATTTCTTCCTCAAATGCCAAAGGATAATGTGTTCTACAACAGATAAGGACAAAGATATTAAACCTTCCAGCACCCCACATCATTTGTGAGGAAGAACCGATATTTTCCTAATCTGGAATCAAATGACAATGGGTTGGTGAAGAGGATTTGGGAAGGGATAGATTACATCAGAAATGGCTCAAGATTCTTCATACTGATAACACTCCAGGAAGCCTACATTCACAATTGCTGAAGGAAATGGAGGTGGACATTAGAAACGCTTTAGTGGGTCTTTTCAAAAGTGCAGGTCTGGAAGGGATGAGGCAATACAACATCTGGGGCAGGAAGCCTGGACTAGATTAGAATTTTCATCAGATGGAGGTCTAGTGTTAGGAAACCCTAAAGCCCTTTACGACACAGAGGCTCAACTTAGAAGAGCCAGCATTGTTCTGAGGTTGGCCCCTACTAACCTCCTGGCAAGAGGTTAAATAGGAGCAAAATAAGTGTTGCATTGGCAACATAGCAGTTTTGAAAAGCTTTAGACAAAGTTCCATGTGGAGATAAAGCTCCTCACCCTTC